GTCTTGCCAGGAAGGAAAGAACTCGTCCGCGTCAATGGAGGTAAGCACCATTAAAAGGATTTTTGAGTTTGGTTTCTGTGATTTGAGTTTGGTTTTTGCGATTTTTGAGTTTTTGGATTTTGTGTGCAGGTCGGGGTGGAGAAGATTGAATCATGGAGGCACGATTTGCTTTCTGGTTGCGTCAATTGAGGAGGACGAACTCGCGTAGAAATCAAATTGGGTTCTGGGTTGTTGTTTTGGGTTGCTGTTATGGTGGTTCTGGGTTTGTTCTGGGTTCTGGGTTGTTGTTCTGGGTTGCTGTTCTTGGTTCTGGGTTGTTGTTCTGGGTTGTTGTTCTTGGTTCTGGGTTGCTGTTAAGGAGACTCTCATGCCAGAAATATTTGGTGAAGCAAAAGAAATGCCAAAACCACGTTTCTGTTGCTCTGATTTTGCTTCTTGCAGTTGCATTTTTGTCAATCTCGGTCATAGATCTTCCTCTCAGGTCCTCCTCTAATTGCTTGAACTTGAACTGTGTTACCTAAAATTAAAGAAAAAATAAAAAAAGAGTGTTACGGCCTCGGTTACCTAGCAACCTGTGTCATAATCTTACTACTTTTATCTCAGTTCATAACCGAGGCATAAAACCTACCTTTTTTACTTCGTCTGATTATGCCTCGGTTGCAAAACCGGTGCCTATAACCAATAATAACCGGTGCTATTTCCTCTTACTGTACTAGTTAGATAATATAAAAATGCGTTTGATCTAATATAATAGATTCATTTAATAAATTATTATAGAATATTTTAGTTTACTTATTTTTTTTATTTTTGTTATTGCATTATAACTACTATTGCAGTCAAGGAAAACGATGAACAATTATTTTCAGTTATAGACAACGGTTCCGCAACCAAGGTATATAAAGGTAAGGCAAAAAGGTGTAGGCTTTTTTCCTCAGTTGTGAATCGAGGCAAAAAGCGGTAGGCTTTTGCCTCGGTTCATAGGCAACAGAACCAGTAGATTTTTTCCTTTTTTTATTTTTTTCGAAAGACATTTTGCCTTGGTTCCTACTGAACCAAGGCTGTAAGTCGGACTCTACTGCCTCAGTCGGGACCCGAACCGAGGCAGTAAACTGTTTTTTTTTTATTTTGGTTTAATACATCATTTGGTCCCTACTTTTAGGGGTTTGGTTCAAAGTGATCCTACGTTTTAAAAAAGTTCAATAAGACCCCATATTTCGTTAAAAAATGTTCAATCCAGTCCTTTTCGCTCATGTCGTTAAAAACATAATGGTGCAAATGACACCGTGGTCAAACCTGAGTGAGTTGTGGAGTTTAATGAATACGTGACTAAAATAATTAAATGAAGAGAGATAAACGTAAATGGCTGTTTGAAGAATTAAATGCCGAGAGAAAATACACCACTTTCACTCAATAACATTATACAACATCCATTCACACACAACCCAACCTATCCATATATATCAACATCAAACGAATATAATCCATAATAACCATCAACCATAAATATTAATACATTCATGACCTCTTGCAGATTATCCTACTAACCATACACCAAGCACATAACCCAATTTCCAAAACAACTATGTTTCCCTCCATGATCAAGTATTAAAGTCTCTCGGCTTCTCTAGACACTACCCAACAATGCACCAGTTTTATACACCCACCTCTAGATTCCACCCTATATCACCCTATATACTATTCCACTCAATAATAACTCAAAAATGATATAATTTTCGAAACCCATAAAGCTATATATTTTACTGTTAGGACGACATCAATATAACTAAAACAAAGAATCATTGCTTATTAACAACAAAAGTGTGACCATTAGGTAACCTCTGCACCTCTTTCATCAATCTTTATATCTTCAAAGAAAACTCCTTTAGCTTCCCTAGACCTATTTTATAGACCCAAAATTTAAAATCTGCACAACGAAAACCTTATCATGTAACCCTTCACCATTCTTATAATCCACCCATGCAACCCCAGAATATCATTTGCGTACTTTACCTATCAACAAGGGACGTAGCAGCACATGCACAAAAACAATTTCATGCACTTGGTATTAACCATATTATGATTTCCCTCCCAAGGTAGTAAAAATTGAAAGGATTAAAATAAATATGTTGATTTCCAAAATCCTATTGGGAAGGTAGTCTTAGCAGATAATTAATTTACATTTTTTCCCTTCAATTTTTGTTTCTGTGTGCTTTCCCTTTGTTTGTTCCTTTTAGTAGAGAACAGATTTCTGATGTTAACATATTACAGGCTACAACCAATGTTGTTCCACAGCATTGACAACCCAATAATGGTCTTGTTATTGTTAGAATGTAAACAAAACAGAAAACAGATTATTGTTCAGGTTTATAAATACTGTAAACCATTTCAGTAGTGGTTAATGTGAAAAGTTTTGAAATTTAGTACCTTGTGACTATTTCTGTTTTTCTCTCTGTGTTGTGCTCCATTGCTCTGATATGTTGTGTGCTTCTCCGGCCAGTGTGGTGGTTTGAAACTCTAGCGTGAGGGTAGTTCTCCGAGGGTGACTCTCTTTGCCTTCTCTCTAACTCTCAGAAGGTTAAAGTGTGTTTCTCTCTCTTATCAAAGCGTAATATAACGTTTAAAACGTTATGTGGTTTACCATTTATGCCCCTCACTTAATATGGTATCAAGAGCATAGGTTCGTGTTGTTTTGTTCTTGGTGAGTGATATGGAATTGTGTGTATCCAGAGGAGAAGAAAGAAGGTTTCTTTGGGTGGTTGAAAATCAAAGAAACTACAAGAACTTAGCAAGAAAGGATGGCAGGATTTGGAGGAATACAGGGACCACTACCAGTGTTTGATGGGAAGCAGTTTGATGACTGGCGCATCAAAATGCAAGCCATTTTTGGTTTCCAAGATGTTTCAGAGGTTATAGAAGACGGTTTTCCTGAGTTGAGTGACAGGGCTACTGAAGAAGAGAAAAAGAATTACAAGTGGCAAGTGAAACTGGACAGCAAGGCAAGATTTTTGCTATACTAGTGTGTCAGCCCAAAGATCTTTAACAAGATCTCCAAGGCTGCTACTGCTAAGGAGGTATGGGACATCCTAGTGAAGACCTATGGTGATGGAGACAGAAACACAAAGGTGAAATTGCAGGCGCTGAGAAGACACTTTGAAATTCTAGTCATGGATGAGAGTGAAACCGTGGCTGAGTACTTTGATAAGGTACAAGAATTGGTGAATAAAATGAGGGTTTGTAAAGATGGGATATCTGACGAGTACATTGGTGACAAGATCCTGAGAACTTTATCATCCAGATTTGATAATGTTGTGGTTGCAATTGAGGAGACTCGAAGGAAGGAAACCATGGAGATTGAGGAACTGTTGAACTCATTAGAGGCTCATGAATTTCGCATCAATGAACGCAGACAGTGCCAAGAGCAGGCCCTGCAGGCCAGATCTTAGTGGAAAGGCAAGAAGGGGTTCAAGAAAGGAGGAAAAGGTGGCAAGAAGGGAAAAGATTCACAGGACCAGCAAGGAGAAGAGTCTAGTGAATCAGGCAAGGTGAAAAATCCGAAGAATGGTGAATGGAAGTTCGACAAAAAGAAGGTTAAGTGTTATAACTGTCAGAAACTTGGCCATTATGCCAAGGATTGCTGGAGTGGTGAAGGTGCTAAGAACAAACCAAAGAAGAGGGCTACTTTGGCCCAAGAGGAGCAATCTGATTCAGAACCAGTGATGTTGATGGCTAAAACTGAAGAAGATTCATCAGAAAATGATGTGTGGTACCTAGATTCTAGGTGCTCTACCCACATGACAGGGAGAAAAGACTGGTTTATGGGAATTCAAGGTGTTGCACAGGAAAAGATTCGGTTTGCTGATAATAGGAGTTTGGTTGCAGAAGGTACAGGCAGAGTTGTTCTAAGAGATGCAGGAGGAAAAGAATTAACAATTGAAGAGGTATTGTATGTACCAGGTTTGAAATCAAATCTGCTAAGCTTGGGACAGCTACTGCAGAAGGGATATGTGATGAAAATGGAGAATAACAGCCTCAGTATTTTCGATCAACAGAAAAGAATGGTTGTGCAGGCTCACCTGTCACATAATCGAACTTTCAGAGTAGTGATGAGTGTAGTAAAACACCAGTGTTTCACTACATCAGAGATCAAGGAGGAATGGTTGTGGCACTTACGGTTTGGGCACTTAAACTTCAAAGATTTGTCTTTGTTAGGACAGGGAAAGATGGTGAATGGGTTGTCTAATGTTGAAATTCCAGACACAATTTGCAGGAAGTGTGTGCAATGCAAGCAAACAAGGGGCAGTTTTCAGAAAAACCTACCCCAAAGATCTGTAGAAAAACTAGGAGTTGTCTATTATGATGTTTGTGGGCCTATGTAGGTTGAGACACCGGGGGTAGCAGATATTTTCTGTTGTTTATTGATGATTACACCAGGAAATGTTGGGTGTACTTAATCAAAAGGAAATGAGAAGCTTTGCAGGTATTTCAGAAATTTAAAAGGCTGGTTGAGAAACAGTGTGGATAGAAAGTCAAGGTTTTGAGGACAAATGGAGGAGGAGAGTATACCTCCACTGAATTCAAAATCTTTTGTGAAAATGAGGGGATTGTGCATAAGGTTACCCCTCCATATACACCACAACATAATGGTGCAGCAGAGAGGAAGAATAGGACTCTACTGAAAATGGTGAGGTGTATGCTAAAGAGCAAGGAGTTGCCTAATTTTCTATGGGGAGAGGCTGTGGTGACAGCCACTTACATTCTGAATTTGTCTCCAACAAAGAGACTTGTTGCTTGACACCTAAAGAGGCATGGACGGGGGTGAAACCAGATGTCAAACATCTGAAGATTTTTGGATCCATATGCTACAAGCATATACCAGATCAACCGAGGAGGAAGTTGGATGACAAGGGTGTACCACTGATTCTTGTAGGCTATAATCCTACTGGAGGATACAAGCTGTATGACCCTGCATCAGGGACAACATGTATCAGCAAGGATGTAGTTGATGATGAGAGTGAGATTTGGCAGTGGAAAACAATTGAGCAGGAAACATCAACCATGTCTCTGGAGGATGCAACTACTGTAGTTGAAACAGAACAGAATAGGGTGAATGATAGAAAGAGGAGATCATCCAGAACCTCACAACTGCCAGCACATTTGAGGGACTATGAGTTGTCCTATGAAGCTACTCTAACAGCAGATGGTCAGTGTGTTCATTATGCTCTAATTGCAGAGGCTGAACCAGTTGAATTTGAAGAAGTTGTTAAAGATGAGAGATGGTATAAAGCCATGCAAGAGGAGATTGATTCCATAGAGAAGAATCAGACCTAGAGTGGTTGAATTACCTTCTGGAAAGAAACCCATAACATTAAAGTGGGTCTACAAGTCAAAAACAAACCCACAAGGTGTTGTTGTGAGGTACAAGGCACGACTGGTTGCTAAGGGATTCCTACAGAAGGCTGGAGTTTATTATGGAGAGGTATTTGCTCCTGTGGCAAGGGTTGAAACTATCAGATTAGTGGTGTCTCTGGCCACTAAATTTTGCTGGTCTTTATACCAGCTTGATGTGAAGTCAGCCTTCCTAAATGGAAGACTGGAGGAGGAGGTATATGTTGTGCAACCACAGGGTTTTGAAGTTAAAAGGCAGCTGGACAGGGTGTATACGCTGAGGAAAGCTCTTTATGGGCTTAAACAAGCTCCAAGGGTCTGGAACCAGAGGATTGATGGGTTCATGGGCAGTATTGGCTTGGAAAAATGTGTTTCAGAACACGGGGTATATGTACAGTGCTGCCAGCACAAAGGCAAAACAGAGAAGTTGATTGTGTATCTATATGTGGATGACTTGTTAGTCACTGGAAGTTGTGAAGAATTGATTTAAGTCTTCAAAGATGAAATGCAAAGGGAGTTTGAAATGAGTGACCTTGGAAGACTCAGTTATTTTCTTGGAATTGAGTTTACCAAGATTGAGAGTGGAATAGTAATGCATCAGTCCAGGTATGTCTTAAACCTACTAAAGAAGTATGAGATGGTTGATTGTAATGCAGCAAACACCCCCACAGAAGTAGGATTAAGGCTAGAGAAAGAGCCAAAAAAGGAAGTTGTTGATCCAACAGCTTATAGGAAAATGGTTGGAAGTCTTAGATATCTCTGTAACATCAGGCCTGATTTGAGCTATAGTGTTGGAATGATAAGTAGGTACATGGAGTGTCCTAGAGTATTACATTTGAATGCTGTCAAACGGATACTGAGGTACTTAAAGGGTACACACTCATATGGAATTCTACTAAGAAGAGGAGAGGCTAGAGAAGAAGTACAAATTACTTCTTACTCAGATGCAAATTGGTGTGGAGATAAGACAGACAGAAGGAGCATTGCAGGGTATATTTTCTTCATGGAAGGATCTCCTATTTCCTGGAGTTCTAGAAAGGAACAGTGGTTGCCTTGTCATCATGTGAGGCATAATACATAGCTGCCTTTGAAGCTACTTGTCAAGCAACTTGGCCGGGATTCTTGTTAGAAGGGTTGAAGGTTGAACTATCTAGGAGGGTGAGACTATTGGTTGACAACAAGTCAGCCATAGACCTTGCTAAGCATCCTACATTTCACGGTAGGAGCAAACATATCGAGACCAGATTTCACTATATCAGGGAACAGGTCAGCAGCGGGAGACTGGAGGTTGTACACTGCAGATCTGAAGATTAACTAGCAGATATACTCACCAAAGCCCTTAAAGGTGAACGCTTTCTGAAACTCAGAAAGCAGATTGGGATGGTGCGAGCTGAGATCGTCGAAGATCACAACAGGAAGGAGTTGAAAACTTAGGGTTTTCATCGGAGAGAGAAAGATCGATCTAGAAGGAGTTTTCTCCGATTTTAATCGGTGAAAAGTGTGTGTGTGCTCGAAAGGAGGTGTTTTTACCGATTTTAATCGGTGGAAATAGCTAAAAATCAAAAGAGATGGAGTTTTCGCCGATTCAATCGGTGGAAAAGAGGGTTTTTTCGTATATTCGAAGTTTCTTTCAGTGTTTTCTTTAGGAGGAGTGTTAGAATGTAAACAAAACAGAAAACAGATTATTCTTCAGGTTTATAAATACTGTAAAACATTTCAGTAGTGGCTAATGTGAAAAGTTTTGAAATTCAGTACCTTGTGAGTGTTTCTGTTTTTCTCTCTACACTGTGCTCCATTGCTTCGATCTGTTGTGTGCTTCTCCGGCCAGTGTGGTGGTGCGAAACCCTAGCGTGAGGGTGGTTCTCTGAGAGTGACTCTCTCTGCCTTCTCTCTATCTCTCAGAAGGTTAAAGTGTGTTTCTCTCTCTTATCAAAGCGTAATATAACATTTAAAACTTTACGTGGTTTACCTTTTATGCCTCTCACTTAATAGTTATGACCAATGATATATCGGGTGTGAACCTTGAAGAAGTAGTCCCTTGCATTGCACTCTCAAAAAATGACTCGTACGTTTTGTCTGCCTGTGGTGGGAAGGTTTCCCTATTTAACATGATGACATTCAAGGTGTGTGTACTCCGGATGTTCAACTGTGATATTCCATTAATTTGGTAAGTTTACTGATTACCTCACTTTTTTATAGGTAAGGACAACATTCATGCCACCACCTCCTGCTTCTACCTTCCTAGCTTTCCATCCCCAGGATAACAACATTATTGCGATTGGGATGGAGGATTTTGCTGGCTTGCTACACTTAATAACTTTCAATTTTTTTTTCTTTTGAGACCTATAGTTTAATTACCTGTGTTTTTGTTGTATTTTGGCACTTTTATATGATCACATCTTTTAGCTTTTGGGTTTTAAGAAGTTCAATTATTTTGTACAACTTTGTGTATGGAGCATTGATACATGGGAGAAAAGAAAATCAATTCCAATACAACTACCTGCAGGAAAGTCACCTGTTGGTGACACGCGTATAGTTTCATTCTGATCAACTTCGTTTGTTGGTAATTCATGAGACTCGGTTGGCAATATATGATACCTCTAAGATGGAACGCATTCGGCAGGTATGAAATTCCCTCCTATATCGGTCAAGCTGCCAGTTTCTAACAATTAAAAATTAGATGCTCATAAATTTCTTTGCTGCAGTGGGTTCCCCAAGATGTTCTGCAAATATTCAGTATGTAAGAGGATTTGAAGTTGTGGCTAATCATGTGGAAAACCAGTCGTTTCATGTGCAGACATATTGGCTATTGTCGCTCGTGATTCTGTTTTTGCGATGAGTAATTAATGGATTCATTATTACTAATTTTCACGCAAAATGCTGAATTACACTACAAAAAAGAAGGGCATTACCGAAGGCCAGAAGCCCTCGGAAATAGCCTAAAATTGTCGGTAATAGGTTATTACCTAAGGCTTATCGACGTCCATAGAGCCCTCGGTAAATTTCTTGTCGCTAACATTTACCGAGGGCTTTTGCCCTTCGGTAATTACCGAGGGCCAAAAGCCTTCAGTAATTACCGAAGGGCTAAAGCCTTCGGTAATTACCGAAGGGCAAAAGCCTTCGGTAATTTCCGAAGGGCTAAAGCATGCAAATTAACACAGGAGATAAGGTAGCTGCATTTGGTTTTGGATATCTCACTCATATCATTTCTCATCATTACGGCAAGAACAATGATTACTGCCAACACCTCCCAACACATTAAAATTACACAAACAAAACTATAAATTATGGAGACCATATGAAATAGAACAACCAAAGCATAAATAATCACCCTTTTCACACTGCTACTCCTTCCACAATCCAGACTCTGCTTCCTCCACCACCCAAACCACCCTCCTTCAACAACACTTTTAAACCATTCAATCAATATCAAACTTCATTTGTAATAAACACTTTTAAATGATTAAAAATAACATCAGCTTTGCAGCCATACAATTCAAATAATTAATAAGCATAGCAACAGTTTAAGCATTAACTAATACTATCCAAAAAGGAATAACAATAACCAACTAAAACATCACCAAACAAATTTATCATACTGCACCAGAATTCAACAAACCAATTTATTTGAATTTTGACAACTTTTGGCTAAAGAAAATAATCAAAAAGTAGCTTGAAAAAAAAATCTGCACTAGACAAAGTCCCTAGTTGTGTGGTTTGATACTAAAACACGTATGGAAGAGATTTAAACACACAACTGAATGTTCAAGCAACTTTGTTTGATGATTTTAATTGTGTTTAAACTCTAAAATGAGTTATAAACAGCCTTCAACTCAAAATCACTACTCCACTTCCATTTTAACTCAAAAACTGATGGTTTAGAAACAAAATCTTCATATAAATCAAAGTATGACCAAATGAACAGTAATATCAACTTTCTTACACCAATTTAAACTTGTTCAAGCTTTCCAATAGCACAGAAAAAGCATAA